ATGGCAGAGTGAGAAATATTATACCAAGAGTATAAGGGCACGAAATAACAATGGATAGTTGTGTAGCCAAAACATTTACATAAACAAATCATTTAAGTAGCAGAAATCATTTAAGTAGCAGAAACTGAAATACAGATATTATGTAAATATATCACTGTAACCACGGTGCAGAACAGAACAGAACAGAGGTCACATAAGTGACAGTCAGAACAGAGGTACGGATTCAAGAGGTGGCTCGTACAGATTCTAGAGGTGGCTCCCACAATAGTGTAGCACTTTGCTCCGCACAGCACTTTGGTCCGCACAGAACAGAGATCAATGGATCCATGACAGACAGAGGACCACAAAGTGGTCAAACAGAGGCCAATGGTTATTTAAATCCCCCAAGGCGTGAGACTCCCGTGTGGTACTTACAAAACATAATTGTATATAAGTTTATAGTCAAATATTCTTTAAAATATAAATAAATATATCCATGGATTTTCTTTTAGGCAAATAGGGTTCAGAAATAAAACCACGTAATTAAAACCTTTATAAAACATAACTTGTGTAAAATAGATTTTGGTAAGTCAAAACATACGTAAAATACATTTTAGTAACTCAAGGTATAATATAAACTCACCTAAACTTTAATACCTTACTCTTTCTTTCCACTATCACAAACCCTTTCAACTTCCATTATTTTTTCCTTCCTTTCCGCTCTTTCTTTTCTTTCCTTTCCTTCTTTCTCTCTTTCTTTTTCTTCCTTTCTTTTCCTTTCTCCTTTCTTTTCTCCAGGTAACGCCTCATCGCTTTAATAGGAGGGAGAGAACTTACGTCGCAGATTCGATAATAATTATAAAGATTTATTTTTATTCTTAATAAATATTTAAAATAATTATCTTTTGACCTAATATTTTAATACTAACATAAAATTAATTATTTATTTTACTACCACACCCATTATTATTATTTATATTATCTATATTATTATTATTTATATTTTGACTCCTAAACTTTTAAATAATTATATTATTTTATAAAATTACGCATAATAATATATAATAAATCATATATTTTCTTAACTTAGATTAAATAATATTAGTGTAAATTCTACAGAATAATTAAAAATCTGAGTTGTTACAATTTTCGTCATAAAAATAGACTTACTCTCTATAGAGGCGCGTGACTTTTACATTATGTTATTTTAGACAAAAAAACTAACAGTGCGTTTTAGCCCATCAATTACAGGAGGGTTATGTAGTGATTTCCAAATGTCAGGGGGTAAACTACATCCGGTCCAAACCAAAGGGGTTAAAGTGAAATTTGCCTAATATAAAAAGTATAAAATAGTCTAAAATAGTACACACCAAGTTGCTAAGGGTTTAAAAAATATTTACAGTGTAAAATTATTCATAAAATACCTAAATATGATAATTAGGATTTAATATTCAAATATCCGAATAATAAGATTTATTAAAATATAAGAATATAATATGAATTGAAAGTGAAAAAAATCCTTGAAAAATAATTTTTTAATAATTAATAATTAATTGAATACATAAAAAGTTTTTTTTTAAATTATTGCCACTTCTTGCGCCATCTGAGTCTGTCATGGGTGGTATTGAAAATGAAGGCCCCGTTTGGTTTGAAATTCAAAAGGATTTTTAAGAACTCAAAATTAAAAGTTCAATTGTTTATCTCTATTACTAAATTTGTATTAATTGAACCCATTTCTATGTTGAAAGATGTGGTATATCATATTTACAAATTAATCAATTTTTTTAGATGAAATTTTGTAAACAAGTTATTTACAAATTCATATAAAAATTTAAAATAAAATGAATTTGTATGTTGAATTAATAAAAAAATGTTTTTAAAAATAGTAAAAAAAATGTGTTCCACGTTTAAGCGTATTTAGATTGAGTGGATCTAAAAATTGATTTTTTTTTATACATATTTGTTAATATTTAGTGATTTTTTTTATAAAAAAAATTATAAATTCTATACGTTTTATTAAATGTATTTAGATTGATTGGATCTAAAAATTAAAAAAAAAAATTGTATATTTTTTAGTATTTAGTGATTTTTTCAAAGATTTTTTCATAAATTTTATACGTTTTAAATGTATTTAGATTGAGTGGCATTAAAAATTGAAAATTTTTGTATATATATATGTATATATTTTGTATATATGTTAATATTTACTGATTTTTTAAAAGATTTTTTTTCCATGAAGTATATTTGTACTTTTTAACAATACCAAGATTAAGATGATCTAAAATTAAAATATTAAAACTAAAATATTAAAAAAAATCCCTAAAAATTTACAAATTCAAAATTCAAAAAGATATATATTTATATAGACTGGTTGGAAGGTCATTTGGGGACTATTGGTCAGGTTGCAAACATGGTGAATTGAGTGCGTATGTTTTCCCTAGATGCGTGGGTTACAAAAGTGTTACCCACTGTCTTTGTGTTTTGAGCATTATTTAGGCCTCGTTTGGGAACAGACTAATTTAGTAACTTTTTGGCTATTTGGCTAAAAAGGTAGGTAAAAAAAACTTGTATGTTTGGGATGACTTTTTGGCTAATTACGAAAAGATGTGTAAAAAGTAGAGACAAAAGAGAATCTTTGACTTTTTGGTATGAGTTGTTGGCTTTTTGACTAATTTAGTAACTTTTTGACTAATTGGCTTAGATTGCATATTTTTTTTTTTCTTCAATCTCCACTTGTTGTTTCTTGGTTATCTTCAAAATGTGATTTTCAATTTGTGAAATGGTGAAGTCATATATATTTTTAGAAATTTGTAATGGCCAATCTAGGGTTAATTTTGGGGTGATTTGTTCATCAAAAGAGTAGCACTTTTTTTTTTTTTTTTCATTTTTATTATAATGCAATACTTTGATAGAAATCAGTAGTTGTAGAGCACTAAAAAAATTTCTTATTTTTGAGAGACCAAATAAACCCATATGCAGTAGTTGTAAAGGTCTAATTGTGGAAATGCGAGATTTTGATTTAAATGATGTTTTAGTTTGTTTTCCTTGTTGACAAGTACTTTAAAGATGATCTTTTTCAAATTTAATTTTTGGAAGTCCAATGACCAAATCATTTTTCAAAAGTTTAGCAATTAAATCCATATGAGCATGACCAAGTCTTCTATGTCATAACCAACTATTTTCATTATTAACATATAGACATTTAACATTACTAGCATAGAGATCATTGAGATGAAAAATATAAATATTATCATGACGATTACCAACGAATGAAGCTTTATGATCATTTGTGCTTTCAATTGTGCAATGAAATTTATTAAAAATAACTCGATTACCTTTATCACATAATTGACTAATACTAAGTAGATTATACTTAAGTCCATCAACAAGTAAAACATTCACTACAACAAGTTGGGTCTTGAATGACAAATTTTTTTTGTCTCCAAAGAGCTAATTTCGTCACTATAGATATTTGTGAGGAAATATTTTCCTCACTAGTTTCGTCATTGAATGTTTGTCACTAAAAACCACCATGACGAAAAATAATTTCGTCACCAATGAAATTACTTCAGTGACGAAATTTTTTGTCACCAATAAAACAATATTTTGTTGCTAAAAATCCTCATTTTCGTCACCAAATAGTTATTCAATACCATATTTATAACTTTAGTTGACGAATAAATTTGTCACACATGTTGATCATTGATAAGGAAATAATTTCATCACAGTAAGATGTAAAGTTGACGAAAATTTTCGTCTCCAAAAGTCATATGGTTGACGAAATATATTTCGTGGCAAAAATTTATATACATGACGAAATTTTTAGTCACTAAACAACAAAATCAATGAAAATTTTCATATATAAACTGCAATAAATTTTGTCACAAAAAATATTTATTAGTGACGAATAATCACTTTATCATAATAACAAGTACAGATGACGAAAAACATTCATCACTAAACTTCGTGTTCCATATTTTATATTTCAATTTAAATTATTATTTTACAAATATGCCTGCTCATATCCCAATAACCTTCTAAATGTATTAAGAAGTCCACTAACTATTATATACCACTCCACACAAAAAAATTCGCCAAACAATTTATATTATAAATCAAAATATATCCATCAAATAAATTTAATAATAATCTATTAAGTATAATAAAAAAAACCATCATAACAAATCCCAAAATGAACAAATGCAGAGTCCACCAAAAAAAAAAAAATAAATAAAAAAAATCAACACTTGATCTTGATCTGCAAATATGTTTCCAAATGTCATCATAAACCAATCTGCAAAGAAAATAAGCAAGGAGAACATTAAAATATATTATCAATTACATATAAACTCGTACAAATAATTTTATTTTATAAACTAATTTAGTAGAAATGCATATAACAATCCAAAACTTCAAAGAGTTGAGGTGATCATTGATAATAAGCAACACTAATAACAAAAGGTTTCAAAAGACTGTAGGAATACCACGTATGACTAGCACTAATGCCAACAATAACCAGAGAGAATCATAGGACATGTTTGACACAAACTAATCAGCCTATGGTTTTTACAAGAGGTACTATTTTCATTTAAATCTAAATATTCTCTTGTTTTATTTTGAACATTAAAGAGGTAAAAATGTCAAAACACACACATGCAAGCAAATATAAAAACAAAAACAAATACACATGAATAAATAATGAAATAAAAACACGATTAGGCCTCCAAACAGTTTGTATGCTCATTGTTCACCTTGCATACTTAATGCAGGAAATAATAGGTGACCCACAGAAACAGGGGCAGAACAATAACTTCTAATAAAGACAAAACAGAGGGAGATCCTGAATTTTTGTGCAAAAAAACTTATAAGGGATGAACTATGACAATGTTTAACTCAAGGAAATTGAAAAGGAAAAAAACACTAGATTATTGATTTCATTAGCAAAAGAGAGGCTTGAGTAATTGAGCGAGTCATCACTACACATGTTTCAAACTTACTGTAAATGTATGTTGTTGTTTGGTAGCACCATAGCTTTCCTTAACAACTCTCCCAGTAATAGTTCTCTTTCCAAACCTGTTTGGATATAAACCTGTTCGGAATTAGCTCCTTCATTTACCGAGCAAATATGATTTACAAACTACGATGGAAATCAAGAGATTCATATACAGAAGGAAAACAAGAGCTGAAACCAGTGAGTTACTTCTTGTATACTTTCTGTGTAAACAAAACAACATCTCCTTTGCAGACATCACCTGAAAAGAGAATCAAAGAAGCTTTAAATTTTCAAAACCACCTTGAAGTGAACAAAAATAGTGCACTCAAAAGAAATGTATGTAAATAAACCTTTACCAGTACAATTGATGGCAAAGGATGATCTAGGATAGAGTGTTTCAGCATTTCCATCTTTTATCCTGAGGGTTAAAAATCATACAATAAGGATACTCTTATGCAAAAATAGTATAAAGCTACAAAAGATATTATCCATCTTCCACATACACAAAAAAAAAAAAGAAGCAATGTTCAATGTGGCAATATTGCAATTTTGATACTAAAAATCTTGGATTAGATGATGTTATAGGTTCACACATTAGCTTGTCACTGTTGATTCCAATTGGATCTACAGCATTTGACACGACTACAATTATAAATGGATATAAGAGGTTGGTAACTTTCTTAAACTGTTGTGCTTTAACCAATATATACTAACCAACATGAGAAATGAAAAGATAAAACAAGATAGACTTACCCAAAAGGCAATCTACAAGTTCATGGGATGCCTCCTCCTCTAAATTGTCCATTGAAACTTTGTTTCTTAAGCAACTCCATGATGCTTGATGTCATCCCCAAATGCTCCTTACTCGACTCATTCATCTTCGTTATCCATTTCTCGAAGTCACATTCAGGCGGTGGGTGGCTTTTAGCATACTCCTCTCCCTTACCACTCTTAAGATTCGGGTATTTTTTTCATAGTCTGTAGGTATAAGCTCCATCTACATTTTGTGGCCACCGCTTTGTTAACATTCGTCGATTCACCTTGCATGTCAAATATTGATCCTTACAACACCAAACTAAAAAAACTAGAGCTACCCAAGAGAAACAAAAGCAAATAGACAAACTAAACTAAATAAATTACAAAGAGAATCATCCTAAAATAAACCACACAAAGAAATGTTCATTTGCACAAACAAGGGCTATCAACATCCAATAGACTAGCCAAAAACATCACAAAATACACTTGCACAACCCTTAACAGAGAAAAAGCAAGCAAAACTGGAGAAGAAACTCAAGAAAAGCCCTTTCACAAACCGCACTAGCAGTAACCACACAACATCAGCCACTCAGCATCAGCTCATGATCCAGCAAAGGCTAACACCAATACCCAAAGCAGCCCTTAAAGATGGCATGCAGAAAACCTAAGCAGCACCAACACAGAAGCAGCAAACAACATAATAGAAGCAGCATAGAAACTAGCAAACAAAGGAGAAGCCTCCAACCTGTTAAAGCTCCACATATACAGCATAGGGCGGCTATTCCTATTTATTACAAAGGTCCAACTACATTATATTTTGTACAATATTTACATAAACTTAACCTTTATTTAAAACTTTTTATTCACATTTTTTTGACAAAAATTCTAATCCAACAATAGATGGGGCCAAAAGAAATGCCTCAAATGTACCACTCATATCATATTTGCCCACCAAAAAGTATCACAAGAAAAGACATTCCCAACAAGTCCATTATTAATTTTTCACTTACTCGTCACAAGGGACAAAATGGGGTTGACCCTTCAATAATGTAAAAGTGCTTTTGAACCCGCACAAAAACAACTACAGTGACAGAATATATATACACCTAGGGATGATATTTTATCAATGTATATGGGGGTGTGCTTTTTTTCCCTCTTTGTTTCCAGATAAGATAAAACCAAAGCAAAAATATAGGTCTATTGTCACTCAACCCTCAACAAAAACCAAAGCAATAAATAAGGAAAAACCCATCAACCCACAAGAAGATAAAAGGAAAACACTCTAGAGAATTTAGAGCTAAGTTCACTCAATCCTCAACAAAAAGCTCATTAATATAAATAACTTTAATGTCTTACCGACACTAGAATGGGAGGCTGCCTCCTTCTGTGCCTCTACATTGACATCAAGAGGCTGTGAGTGTTGGGCCATTATGGCAACTAAACAGCATAAATTGATATATAAGACATAAAATATAACGCATAATATTTACTTGAAAAGACAATGCAAAATATAACATAAGAAGGTAATGCACAAAAAACATATGTCCATATGGAAAACACAAAATTTAATTTATTTTTAGTAATTTTCTTTTCACTTTGTGGTTTAGTTTCAAAGAATACGTTTTTTTTAAAATCTTTTTAATTTGATTAAAATCGATAATTTTTTTTAGGTTTCTCTAGTAGAGATGAACAAAAATAAAAAAAAAAAAAAAAAAAAAAAAAATCTCTAAGTTTGAGCCACTAACAAAAAAAAAAAAATTATATTTTTTATTTTGTCAATTTATAACTAGACCAGAAAAGCAGAAATACTATCCCATAAGTTATATCCAACCAAATTCTAATCACCCTTACAAATCTACAGCCTACATTATCAATACTCTCAATTATTCCGTTGAACTATGAGACATTTGGCAAAATAGTGATGGAAGGTGCCTTCATAAACATCTATAGATTTGATCAAATTGTAATTGATTTGATCAAATTGTACTCAATATTTGCTTAATTAAGTACATGATTTTGATTTTGTGAGATAGTATATTATCATAACTAATTAATATATCATCAATGAAGTGACAATAACATGATTTCAAAGTCGAATCAGTGTCTCCTATGATTCCATTTTCTAGTACTGATCTAAGAAAACAAAGAAATTCACTCCAGTTGCTATGCAAAACAGAAAACAATATTATCAAGTTAAGCAAAGTCCTAAATATTCAATCTTCTAATTGCGTCAACTATTAGACAGAAAATCATTTTACACTAGCAAAAAATTATTTCAAGCACTTCATTCCATTGAATTTGAGCATGATCAAAGGGAAACCGACTTCACCAAATATTTTATCCCTTGTTAACACTTGAAACTGAAATTTTAAACTAATAGAATGACTCATTTATCATATATATTTTTGGGTTATTTGTTCTTTACTAGAGAAATTATACTCACGTTGACATTGTTAAATTTTCAGATTGTTGTATCTTGTTTTTAATGTATCTTGTTTGTCTTATAACTTAATTGATCAAAGTTCCTATTCAACTACAAAAAATAAAAATAAAAATCACAAATCATCACAAACACAACTTTTTTTCATCTCATAAAGTAGCCAAAAAGTCAAAAAAAACCAACTAAAACCTATTCAACTACAAAAAATAAAAATAAAAATCACAAATCATCACAAACACAACTTTTTTTCATCTCATAAAGTATCCAAAAAGTCAAAAAACCCAACTAAAATAACTAAGTTTTCAAACGAGAATGTTGTATCAATGAATCTGATTTCATCACTGATGCATGAGGTATGTGATTGGAATCTATGTCCAACAAATTTATTAATCCGTTGTCTCATGAAAATTGGATTGATAGGTAAATATATATCATTTTCAACTAAATAATTTAAGAACAATTCATTCTAGAACTAACAGTTTATTATATTGTAGTTCTCTTTGACTCATCCATCTAAACAAATATGCCATAAATGTAATGGTTATTATCTTATATTTAAACAAATAAAATGATAAATAAAATGAATAGAGCTATTGGAGAGCAGTTCTAACTTATGGCTATGCCAGAGCAATATCTAATAGTTTAATGCTCTCAATGTTCAAATTTCATTAATAAATGCAAAAAAGAACAAAGCAAATAGCTACACAATAATAAGATAATTCCCTTTCTTTTGAACCACAAAAAATAGAGCATTCCTAACCCTTTATATATTTGTTTTTTTATATGGTACATGATATGATATTATATCATATGATGATTCATATAAATAGTAAAATTAATAACATATAACATTGCTAGCATAGTTCAATGACAAAAAAACAAAAAAAACAAAAAAAAACAAAACAAAACAAAACAAAAACAAAAAAAAACAAAACCATCATCATCGTGTCTAGTTTTTTGCCATACATTTTACATAGTATACATGGCCATTCTCTTGATGTTAATCACTAAATTTCTGCTGATCAACTAATACAGAGGAAAACTAAAATTACCCAATCTCATAAACTACCTAAATTCTTACATAGCTATAAACTGGAAAAATTGAAAGGGGTACAAAATAGATGTTTGAATTGTGCCTTTGTTTTCATTCTTGCAATATGGAATCGTGTTTGGACTTTTCACGGTTTGAAATAAAAAGCCAAATCTCTGTTCGATCTGAGGAAACAATGCACAAATCACCAGAATCGAAACCTTAGTTTATAAATCTCATGGCTAACTACATACATTAACTATAGGGGGAAAAAAAAAACCCAAAAAATACGTAAAACTTGAAAATTCAGATGATAAATCAAAGATTTTAAATCGCTCAATAAAGAAGACAATCAAAATTTATTTACCATATCAACAATAAAGCCAGATTAGAAGCTAAAAAAATTGTGAAGATTAAAATCCATAAAAATTCTAAAACAACTCAACGAAATTGAAGCAATATAAGCTTAAATTAAAGAAACAAGAACCTACCCACCCCACGCCCACACCAAACCATCAATTATAACATGACTGAAATATTTTATTTAATAAACCATGATTAAAAATAAGATTACATCTTCAAATCTTGATTTCATACCAATCAACAAAAGTTCACCTTCTAAACTAATCACATCCAAACTACACCAAAAAAATTAGCATAGTAAACAATGAAATTCAAGTAGAAATATCATCAATCAATTTGACTTTCACAACTTTCAATAATTAAAACCCAAAATAAATAAATAAATAAATAAAAACGAACTCAGCTCAATGATGCATATTTTGAACTCACGGCGGTTTTGACGAGTTCGTCGAAGTACGATTTGGCATGGACGACAGAGACACGAGGAGAGACGAATCGACAGGAAGATCCAGGCCCTTGATTGAAGGATTGCTAACCGATCCACTGATTCACCAAGCTCGTACACGCCATGGCTAATTCAAAAACTACGGATCGATC